AAGTTGCCTGTGATCCAAGCACAGAAAGGAACGTCACCTGCCTTTCAGCAATTCCTTCAACACGCAGACCCAGAGCCACGCACACACACCCCACACCAGCTCCCACAGACACCTGCTCCCACACCTGTGTCCGTTCCCTCTCTCACACAGATGCACTCACACTCAAATTCAAGGCTAGGAGAGAAACGGGAAGGACACTGCCTGTCCCTAGGAACTTCCAGCTGCTCACCAGCAGGGGTGCGGGATGCAGAAGCAGGGAGACCTGAGCACCGACACCTCCCTCAGCAGCCTACTTACAAGCGCCGAAAAGGACGATGCCTACAAGGTCACTGGAGGGCGTCCGGCATTTCAATGTGTAGGTGCTCTGGAAAGGATCAGAGACTATCAAGATGGAAACACGTATGTGTGCATAATCTCAAAATGTGGAGATAATCTTTATGATTATTAATTCCTTAGAAAAATAAAGCCAAAAGAAACGAATCCTTTCCTACAATGCTCCTCAAATTTACTTGACAAATTCCTTTTAGGATGAGCTGGTCACAGCTACAAAAGCATCAGCCCTCTTGATGTGGGAAACAACGGCAGAAGAAAAACTATTAAATTTCCTTACTACCTAGAACCCCACTGACAAGTCCTTAAACAGGCAGAGTGACATTCCTTCAGGGCCTTGATGCTGACACTGCTGAGGGCCAAAGGCAATCCTAGCCCAACCCCTCTTACCTCCTCCCCACCTCCCAACCCACCCTGTAAGTCTACTCTAACATACAAAAACTCCTTTGGAAACTCCCTTTATCTCTACCCCTGAGATACATGCTGGCAATCATCCCCCAAGCATGTGGCCCACTGCGACACACACCTGAAGAGTCTCATGACTCAGGTTTTATTAGACGGTAATAAATGACCTTTACCCAACGGCTAGCCCCCTCAAGGGCCTAGAAACCTTGCTTCCAAAATTCCTCAGAGACTTAAGCTTTTCTTAACCCCCTCCCAACTTGAAAGTACTATAATGGGCCACTCGTCACCACCCCAGTGCGGCTCTTTCTGCCCACGGGTCCTGGCCTCCTGCTTTAACAAAACCACATTTTTGGGGGGGCGCCTGGGTGGCTTAGTGGGTTAAGTCTCTGCCTTCGGCTCAGGTCATGATCTCAGGGTCCTGGGATGGAGCCCCGCGTCGCAGTGGGCTCTCTGCTCAGCAGGGAGCCTGCTTCCTCCTCTCTCTCAGCCTGCCTCTGCCTACTTGTGATCTCTCTCTCTGTCAAATAAATAAGATCTTTTAATAAATAAATAAATAAATAAACAAAACCACATTTTTGCGCCAAAGGCATCTCGAGAATTCTTTCTTGGCCATCAGCTTCGAACCCTAACATTCTTTCCTACATCCCTCTAGGTATGAAGGGGTCATATGATGAAGACTCTTCAGAAATGTTGAGGCCTTAAAAATAACCTATCCCAACCCAGCAACTATCGCCTGAATGGCTAGGACCACAAAGTCCTGTCCCAGCAAGAGCAGCGAGAAAACTGCCCCGCAGTCCTTCCTCTCCTTCCCTCTGCTGACTACCGCCAGCCCCGTGTCCCATTACCCCACATCTGATCTACCGCCAGATGATGTAAGGGGACCCACACACACCATGACACGGCTAAAGAAAGACGGACACAGCAGCCGTCTGTTTTATAAGTAGGAGCTGCTGCCATGAAAAATTCAGGTAATCGGCCTCAATAATTTAAAATTCCTCCTTCACACACAGGTTACTCAACATGCTACCTTTGCGTACCTGACCCTACCCGAGAACAATCTAGCTGCTGTCATCAAGAACGATAACATGACCAGCCTCGGAGCCTCGCGCATGCCGTATTTTGAAATCTCACAGCGGAGAGTACAGAGACTTAGGGTCGTTGCTGCTGTTACCCACCTTATCTCTTCCCAGGGCCTCTGAAAAACCCCGGCTGTTTCAGGCAGAACCCTTATCTCTTACAGACACGTACTTTGGTGCAGACGGCGAGGTTCTCGGTCAGGCTCACGCTTCCCACACGCGCGCAGGTGGGGCTGCGCAGAGGCACGGAGACAGCGGAGACTGTGCGGCGGCCTGGGATGGGCGTGTCACTAAACTGCTCCCTCTACTTCTAGGGTGTTCCGGGCTTTTCGTTTTAAAAGTTTAAAAATACTCATCACGAGGTAGAATTCCTCAGTTTCCTTTAAAACTACTTCACTATCGGGGCACCTGGGTGGCTCAGTCGGTTAAGCCTCGACTTGGGCTCAGGTCAAGATGGGGGGTTCCTAGGATTCAGGTGGCAGTAAAGGGCTCTGTGCTCCGCAGGGAGTCTGCTTCTCCCTCTCCCTCGCCCTCCACCCCGCTCCGGCACAGGTATGCGCGCTCTCTCTAATAAATAAAGTCTTTAAAAATAAACTACTCCACTATCAGACAGTATTTTTTCTCTTAGCTCCTCTATAATGCATTCTGACATCAGACTTGGAAAAAGCAATCCTGAGTCATAATAAAGGCCAGCAAAGCTTACACACGGGCCCAAAAACCAACCCTTCATCACTCTGTAAAATATCCGCTCCAAAGCAAGAACTCTCCTCCACCGTCCCAGGAAGCTTGTCCAGGTCCAGGTACGGAGACAACCACGCCTAGGACCGCCTCTTCCAGAGCAGTCTCAGACAGCAGGACGGGGATGCCACAGATCTCCCCATACACAGCCATCCCCCCAAACCCCAAGTCACCTGGGCTTTGCCCCCAAATTTAAAATTCCACCAGAAGGGGCGCCTGGGTGGCTCAGTGGGTTAAAGCCTCTAACTTCGGCTCGGGTCATGATCCCAGGGGCCTGGGATCCGGCCCCCGCATCGGGCTCTCTGCCCAGCGGGGAGCCTGCTTCCTTTCCTCTCTCTCTGCCTGCCTCTCTGCCTACTTGTGATCTCTGTCAAATAAATAAATAAAATCTTTAAAAAAAATAAATAAAATAAAATAAAATTCCACCAGGAGAGGGGTACTTGGGTGGCTCAGGTTTCGGCTCAGGTCATGATCTCAGGGTCCGTGCCCTCCCTTGCCCTCCTCCTCTCCTACTCTCCCTCATCGGTGCATGCTCTCGCTCCCTCTCCCCACAGTAAATAAATAAAATCTCAAAATTCTACCAGGAGCTATCAGAGCAAAGAATTCCGATTCATTTCTACTTGGTGATTACAAGAAAGCTTTTTCCCACTATGATGAACACGGACAGTTACAAAAGGTGTTTCTCAAATGAAAAGGACTTTATGGGAGTCAGTAACACGAAACTCTGTGGAAGTATTTTCAGAGACCGAATCTAGTAACCTGGGAGCCACCTCAAGGCTGTGAGCTCATCCCTGCTCGAGCACGGACCATGCATGAGGGCTTGCAAAATTATTCATCCGTCCCGGGCTTCCAGTCCCTGCCTGCAGAGAGAGATGGAAAACGCCTGCCTAGGGCGTCTGGGTGGCTCAGTGGGTTAAGCCTCTGCCTTCGACTCAGGTCATGATCCCGGGGTTCTGGGATCGAGCCCCGCATCAGGCTCTCTGCTCGGCGGGGAGCCTGCTTCCTCATCTCTCTCTCAGCCTGCCTCTCCGCCTACTTGTGATCTCTGTCAAATAAATAAATAAAATCTTTAAAAAAAAAAAAAAAAAACCCTGCCTACTACCGCCCCAGAAACAGTGGCGACCCAGAGAAAACACACCTGAGCTTCACGTAAGCCAAAGAGTGCGGTCTCAGAGCCAGGTCCCGGCAAACAAGAACAAGTGGCCTACCTCCCTAGCAGCTGTGACTGGTGTGCGGAGGAAGGCTCTGTCTGGAGAGAAGGCACGAGGATGCCCACGGTGCTCTGGAGGCCAGCGGCACAAAGGAAAAGCAGGAAAAGACACTGGCCCAGCAATCGCAATCCGTGCGGCCCACAGGGCACGCGGTCAGGCACACAGCTCTGTGCCCATCAGACTGCGAGGTGGGCCCGTCGCAGCAATGCCTTCCACACAGACCAAACACAAGCAGCGCTGACCCCGCCGTGCCCACACCGACATGCCCATCCTCCCGGGCTGACCACTCGGCCCAAGGAGCCGCGAGGGGGGGCCCACATCTTCACCGGGACAGCTCGGACAGCTCGAGGCGCCCTGGATACCCGTTGGTACCAGGATCCCTCACGGAGGTTTCCACAGGTTACAAACCACACCCTCAATACCAGGGGGTGAACTGCACCTCCTCTCCTGAAGCCCTCGCGGCTGGACGGCACTGTGCACTCGAACCCCCACTTACAAGTGTCTGCAGTCAGTGCAACACCAACACCAGCAAATCAGCGTGCCAGGGGCCCTGCAGTGTCTCCCGCGACCCTGCGTGAGCACCTTTCTCTCAACGCAAACTTCCGCAGGAGCTAGATCCAGGCCAAGGACTGATCCTGACGCCCCTCCTCGGCGGCCACCCGCCACCCATGACACACCGCACTGTGCACTCGTCACGGGTCTGCACCTCTGGCTCCCGCAGGAAGCGGCGCGCGGACGGCGCTGGGCTCCTGGTACTCTGCTTCCTGCTCCCGCGCCCCTTCCTCCGCGGCCAGTTTCCTTCCGTCCAGCACTCAAGGGTAGCACGGAAACTTCCCGCCTTCGCTCAAGAGCAGCCGAGGCCGAACGCGCGCCCGCCGCGCCGCCCAGTGCGCTCAGAGCAGCATGCGTCGGTTCGCACGATGACCAGCGGCCAGCCGCGCTCGGGCCTTTGCGGTGCCTTCAACCGAGGGGCCCAGGACCCTCAGCTCGGGGACTCGCTGGGCCCTGCTTCACTGCGGGGCCCTTCGACCCGGGCCCCTCTACGCGTGGCCGGGAGCTCCCCCCGCGGGCAAACAGCCAGCCTGCCCGGCTCGGGAGGACCGGGTGGGGGAGGGGGCAGGGAGAGAGAATGAGTCTCCCCAAACCCGCGAGCGGAACGTCAGCGAAGACAGCGCGCGCTGCCCGGCCGCGGAGGCCCGTGCCGGCAGGGCGCAGGGCCCGGGGGCGCCCGCCCGGTTACCTGCTCTGCCCCGTAGACCGTGGCGAACTGGACGAAGTCCTCGATGCGGACGAAGCCGTCCCCGTCGCCGTCCAGGGCGTCGAACACGGCTCGAAGGCGGGGGCCGTCCTCCGGACACGCCGCGGGCTCGCTCGGGAGCGGGCAGGTCTGGCTGAAGTCCGAGGGCCGGTCCGGATGCCCGGGACCCACGTCGAGCGTCAGCTCGCCCACCGCGGGCGAGGGGAAGCCGGGGAAGAAGTCGACCTCGCCCCTCACGTGCCGGCTGTGCCTGGAACCCTGCACGCGGAGAGAGGGGCTCTCCGGGCGAACCGGGGCTCCGTAATCCGCTGGCTCCTCAGTCCAGGACAGAAGCGGGCCGAGTTCCGGCAGCTGACGGCCGGGGTCCGCGCAGGCGGCTCGGGCCGGCAGCAGGTAAGAGGTGCCTGGGCCCGGGGCAGGTGCCCAGGCGCTCTCGGGGCGCGCGTCCGGCCCCGGGGCTCGCCCGGCGCTCAGGTCCGCCCCGGCATCGGCGCAGGCCGCGGCCTCCGGGGGGCCGGGCTCCGGGCGCGGGGCGGGGTCGGCCCCCGGCCGGTCGGGCCCGCCAGGCTCGGCGTCGGGGCACGGGCCGCCCGCGGGGAAGGCCGGCCGGCCCGGCTCCATCTTCATGGGCGCGCCCCCGGCCGCGGCGCAGGCCCGCGAGGCCAGTGGTGCGGCGGGCGGCGCGGGCGGCAGACAAAGGCGCTCAGGGCGCGGCGGCGGGCGCGGGCATCCCCGCGGCGGCGCGGGCGGGCGCGCGCGGGGCGCCCGGGCTGCTCCGGCTGGCGCTCGGGCCCTGCTCCGCCCTCGCCCGTCTTCGCGCGGC